ACTAGTATGTCACAGGTCTTTCTAGCATGGTAGGACCTCGAGGGAACAAGTGCTTCATCAGCATAGCTCATTGGGCCATTGTGATATGCAAGCCTGACCACCTCGTCAATGTAGCAGCTGTCGACCTGGTACAAGATGGACGCAACTTATTTCGATTCGGAGCCATATATGATAACGTCTCAAACCACTGAGTTGCCTGATCTCTCGGATCGCACCAATGGAGTCTTAATGTAACAACAGATGCTAACCCAATACACTTATCTTTCATGCCACAGCACCATGTCATACCGACCACCTTTCCACTTCTTCCAACTAGTCGCGCGGTTAGGGAACAGTGAACGATGAGGAAGCCGTTTGAACGACAATTGGTAACGCATGTCAAAGCTACCAAAGTCGGTGTGTCCAGACAACTTCACTTAGTCAATAACGATCTTCATCACTCCAAAACACACTGTCACATTTCAGAATTATTTACATGTTGCCACTAAATGCCAATAATCCTACGAAGACGACGATGATCGAACACACAGAGTCACCGCACATCCTCAGCTTCGAAGGTCCAGGTTTCCCAAGTGTAGGGCAAAACTGCTTGTACCGAAGCTTCATAATCCCAACTTTTTACGGTAGACTAACAGCGCCAAAGGTGGCCTAGATTGAAGAATGCCATTTTGGATTTGGATATGAGGCTAGAAATTTCATTACTCACCTCCAGTAGCACAGACAACTGCCCAGATACACCAACTCTTTGACTACTTAAGACGGCTCATCACGGAGGTACAGGCACAGGTACTTTGCAATTTGATGTTGCAAGGCACACATCATCCCATGAACACTGATCGCCAAAAGATTAAGTGAGATCTGACCAGCCTATGTGTGTAAGATGGTATTATCCGCATATTCAAGGTCGAATAGCTGTTCCCCGAGTAGTAGATCTATGCCACTATTACGCAGATGTCTCAAGAATGTCGTCGATGGCGAAGTTAAAGAGGAGTGGACAAATTGGGCAACCCTGCCTAACCCGACTGCTGGTTTGGAACAATAGAGACAGGTGATTGTATGCCCTTACACTACCAGAAGTGTTATTATGTAAGGCTTTCAAGACGTAAAGAACTTCTTAGGAACGTTCCCCCTCCCCCCTCTAACAGACAATTCAAGAGTGCAGCTCTGTCCAACGAATCGAAGGGATTTCTAATGTCAAGAAACACAACGACTGTTGACCTCCAACACGTCTGGTGATGCTCAAGCATCTGGTGGAGGGCAAACACATGATCAATGCATCCATGACGCAAACGAAACCCAGTCTGCTCCTCGCGAATCATTTTCTCATGCGGTTGGTAAAGTCTGCGAAGTATGATATTAGCCAGTATTTTCGACACGACGGGTAACAGACTAATACCCCGATGACTGTCACATACATTACGTAGACCCAGGGTAATGAAACACCCTGAGTTTGCCATACCTTCTCAATCAATCTAGTCAGTTCCCTGACTAGAGTCGTTCCTCCATTCTTAAAAAACGTTCCGAGGGTAAGTTGCCTGGGCCGGGTGCCTTGCGGCGTTTCAGAACTTGAAGTTCCTTATGGGCCTTCGCTTCGTTAGATGGGTCAGTGCTAACTAACCATAGAGCACGTTACACTGAAACTTATGGTGCTGGATGCGTGGGCGAGCCAAACCGCTTTTTGAAGTGCTCCAGGCGTCTTTGAAGATTGTTCGTCAGTGTACCACCCACGTCACAAACCGTCTCACTGACACCAGGCTTCTTGCTGCCGCTGGCTCGGATGAGCTGGAACAGCTTCCAACAATTGTCAGATACAGCTGCTGCTTCTATTTCAGTCGCGCGTTCAGATCACCAAGCCTCACGGTGTTTGCGTTGTGTAAGCTTTCGCGTAAGGGACTTACGGAATCTCCAGTACTCGCTATCCGCCGGGATAGTCTGAAGGGCTTTTTGAAGTTCCAATGAGCTTGCAAAGACCTAGTGTTTGTCAAAGTAATGTTCTTTCAAGCCACAATAAGCTTTACTTGCCTTTTTTAATGGTCTACTTAGTGAAGCAACATCCCTATGGTTGCCGGTGACCAAAATAGGTTCACAGTCAATTCGTTTCTTCTGGATTCCGGAGCCAATGTGCACCATCAGTTTGAGTTTCCAACTCCCTTAGGTAGACACTCTGTACGCTTTGCCTCTTTCACTTTTAGAGGAACACCCCGGACACGTGGAGGCAATGAATACAACTGCCCTGGCAGAGGTGATGAATGCAACCAGTCTGTACAGAATAGTGATGCACAAGTAGTACCGCAGCTGTACTTTTGATGGTTCTTTTGGCCGACAAGTGCAGCATTATTTGAACCAGTTATCAGAGTAATAGTCCATGCACGAGAATGAAAAATACCATTCATCGATATCACGCGTACTGGTATCGACGTGTTCAAACTCTAAATAGCACGATATAAGTTGGTTATGGTATCAGCGTAACCTACACTCTAACGTTTGTGTTTCAGAGGACCTGTATTGCTGGTGAGAGTTCCTGAACTTCGCCTGTGGTTCTAAATGCACTTAGCAAAACGGCACAGCAGCCTGTGAGTGTGAAGGCGAATGCTGATAACATAACCTCGGTAAACGGGGCCAGCAGGAAACAGCTGAATGTTACATGCCTAAAACAAGACCCACTGCATTCTAACTGACTCAAATTGTTTGGTTTCAGAAAAGTTTAACTACAGATTCAAATAAATCTTTTTCTTTAGACAAAACAGCAGGCAACAATCTTTTAGAGGAAGTTGCAGACAGAGATACAAAAAACTTAAATGAAGGCCGTAGCGAAAATGCAAGAAGCCTACAAAACAAACAGCAAGACTCGGCATGAATGAAGAATACCAGGTTTTTCTCACTTAACAAGCGGTAATTAAAATTCCCACAATTCATATAGTGCTTCCCATAATTCTGCCTCAAAAGGAATAACGCAATACACTCAGAAAAGCATCTGCATTCGGAAATGAGTAAAGTGTCTACACAGACGATAACGACTCTCTCAACTTCGGATACCCAAGTCAAAACATGAGACAAACAACAATTCAATTTCCCACGAGACGATCCACTTATAACCCAGCGACCAAGTCACCGAAAACAGAATGCCATTACGTAACAGCTTCAACCTAAGACGTTACATACCCTCTCACGTAAATGACCAAACAACTGTAACCCTGCTCGAGATAATAATTCTGTAGTGTGCACACGGCATTACAAGTAAATCCCTTTCACTTATTCCTCCTGAGCACCAACAGCGGTTATATCTTGTGATGGGTCATAATCACATACTGCACCGTCTACGCTTGAAACAAGCCTTCGTGACAACTCGATAACTGCGATTAAAGACAATTAACTCTCATTCATATCCCATGTGACAGTAATTACACGAGTTACACCGCAAGTCCACAGATTTCAGCGCCAACCAATAGTGTAGTGGCGTCTACTCGGAACGCTGCATGAGATGAAAACGCACCGGACAAATGATATGAGGAGACCACCACTCATCAAAGGTGCGTTTTGCGTTGTTTTGGAGTGCTTTCAGCTCCGTGCTTAACCCAGCGAAAGAGAGAGTCCAGAATCCATCAAGTAATACACCTGTTGGCAATAAAATGGAGACGCCTACCATGTGTGCACACACCTAGGTGGACAACGGTCAAAATATGATGGACCCCAACAAATACAAAGATTACCACACAGTAGACTGTCCAGTTGGATACCATATGGTTCTGTACTAAATCCCAAGTCCAGAAGCTAGTGATGCCGGGTTGCATGCATGCAACAGAGATCACCTAATGGACAGCAGTCGTATCGCGGTTGTTCTACAAAACCAAGACTTAGACTGAAGTCGTTACGTACACTCGAAAAAAGAACCACTTGTGTCCATCTCTCCGAGAATCACCATCAATCCATAGTGTACATAGCCAGGGACCCATGTTCCCTACCACTTCTGCGTTAAACTGTGAAACTCAAGTCATCTATGCACTTGATTAATGGAATGAAGTAACATTCAGTGCCACTCGCGCAATCAGGTATTGACTACAAAACGTCCTCATCACATGAATTGAGGAAGTTTATTGCGAAAGTCCGACTGTAGAACTACGCTAAGATAGGCGACATTGTAACGGTAAGCAAAAGGGGATTTGGAGGAAGCTTAGGGCAAATCAACAGTCGCCAACCAGTTTAGTGATATCAGTTTGGCTGTCTAGTTCGAAGTTTCCTGTCAGGGAAAATGGAACCCTGATATTTGTTCCTCGCAGGCAATTATGCCAAATAGTGCGAGTTTCCCGTCAGCCTTCCTGGTCGACTGTCATTAAAACCTAAGTGTACATCCCCCAGATATCTGCTCCATTTGCGATAATTTCCACGGCATATATCACCTTAGAACATCACAATGAACTGAAGCCAAAGGGTGAAGGGCATATTGACAACTAGAACCTTGTAAGATTATGCAAGATGGATACAACACAGGATGCTTCAGTGGAAGAATGTCACGGCAGCGAAGAACGTAGTAATCACCGTGCCATCCCAACACATACCCAAAAAACTGCCTTCACACAGTGAAGAGGTGAATCATGAAGCGAATCAACTGCTCTCGAACACAGGATCAGTGACCAATACTTCGCTTGAGACAAAATCTCACCTACTCTGTAGACATCGAAACTGAAGTTTGACAGGCGGAAAAAAATATGATCTCAGAAACAGGTGAGACAGAAACGGGATACTGACGACGTAGATCATTTGTAGGAAGCGTGAGTACTGCACAGCTGGTGTGGTGCCAGTCACTTATACATGTCCTTACATTGAGGAATCATACCTTAGGTGCATCCGAACAATGACGGAACGCGCTACAAAATTTACTGGAACTCACTCTACAAACCTCGTCTGCTCTAGTTGAAGCCAGCGTTATGAAAATTCCAGTGAAGCGTTAGAGGCCTGAGACCCTTATAGATAATGCGAGACATCAGAATGAAAAGTGCCAATGTTGACTTCCGGAAAATATTTTATTGTAAATCAGTGGCCAAGCCGTCTTGCACGGATTCGTCTGTCACGTTCTTCGATTATTGACAACCTTATTCCTTTGCCTTTGGGTAGAGAAACCCATGCCTTGTTTGATTTCCCGATGATGAATATATTGTTCAAACGGGTTACGAATTGGTGCCCCGTGCTATCGCGTACATGAACCATCTCCACAGAACCAGGATGGCGCTCCCACTGAGTGATAGTCCCGACACGTCCCAAGTTCCGTCCACCGGTGACCATACAGATATTGCCTGAGAAATTATTAAGTCAAAATTAAACTCACCTGGCTCAAACTTGATATGGTTCAGAACCTTGCCTGTTGCAATATCCACTTGAATAGTATCATTTGGTTTAATATTTGGGTCTGGATATCTGATAGTTCTGGCATCATGGGTCACAATATAAGGTACCCCTCCGTGACCAACGAGTACTTTCCTCACTTTACAAAGCTTGTACTTGGCCTCGTCAGGGTGAATGCGGTGAATGGCAAACCTTCCTTTAGTATCATAGATCAACCGGAAGTGTTCATTTGTCTTTTCAATTGTGATGACATCCATAAACCCTGCTGGGTATTTTTTGTCTGTACGCACCCTCCCATCAACTTTAACCAGACGCTGAGCCAGGATCTTTGTGCATTCTGTGTAAGTCAGTGCATATTTAAGACGGTTTCGTAGAAATATGCTTAGTGGCAAGCATTCTCTCAACTTGTGGGGACCTGTACTAGGCCTCGGGGCAAAGTTCCCCCCTAGCTTATCCAACATCCAGTGTTTTGGAGCATTAAGCCTCTTTAAGTGTTTCTTGTTACCTCGGACCTATGGAAATAAGCACAAATAGTACAAAGAGCTGCTAGGACTTACACCCATAATACAGTGACCTGCTAACGACCTGCTTTACAATGCAAAAAACCAAGTGGCGGCTCAGAGGTTGAGGGCTAAAACAGCTTAACAAAAGTAAGGAGCTCAATGTTCACGTGGATGTCTGGAATGCTTCAAATGGTAGACTTCAGCTGATATGCTAGTCTTTCCCAGTAAATATAGACTCATAGCTTTTAAGTGAGACAATAGAAACTTTTGATAGCCACTAATTGGTGTTTCACTGCAAGCCTGAATTAGGGACTTCTGTACGGTAGAAGAAATACTGTCCAGATGGAAAACTTTTATGGGTGGAGTTCCTTCACAAACAACCCTAGCTTCGCTACCTTTCTTGTCATATGTTCAACTCCTTGGTGCTGCTGTTCGCCGACGATGTAAAGGTTTGGAGAGCCATAAGTAGTGATACTGATGGGTGGACACTTAAAACGGATCTGGTGGGTTGGTCCAACCACTGGTGTCTTGAAATCAACTAATCAGTCAAGTAAAGGTACAGTAATACGCATTATTCATAGCAATCGTTTCCGGTTTTCCGTTGATGGTACGCCACTACTCCCAGCCTTTGAACTGAAAGACTTAGATGTCATCACAAGTCATGATTTGAAAACCTCGGCGAACTGTATTGCAGCTGCAGCAAAGGGCTTCGCGCACTGTGGTCCATCCACACAGCTCTCACAAGTTTTGATCAGGACATGTTCACAACACTTTATTCTACTTACACTAGACCTCGCTTGGAATACCACATTTAGGTGGCCAGACTATACCTAAAAAGTATGCTGACGTACTCCGGTGTGTTCAAAGAGTAGGTACTATGCTCTCGCAGAAAACCTAGATCGGCTAAACTTGTTCTCACTGTTTTAACGCTGGAAACTGGTCTCATGCCGGTGTTTCGTATCCTTAATAATGACTTCCTACGTTTTCTCCCCTTCTAGGATTGACTATCTCTGACGGTATGACAAGAAAATTCAAAAACCGCAATCGAACCATTATTTTTATTATTATTAGTCCCTTGGGTTCCTAATGGAACATAGGGCTTCACTAGCACGTCTCCAGTGAACTCTGCTCTCTGAAATCTTTTGAACCTGGCTCCACGACAGCCCACAATCTCTCATTTCCTCCTCTCACGATCTCCTCCATGTCACCCTTGGACGTCCAACTCGTCGCTTCCCATGGGGATTCCGCTCGAGTACCTGGCCTGACGCGTGATGTCCCCAGTCGGCCTTCTCAGTGTATGCCCAATCCATCTCCACTTCCTTCTGCATATTTGTTGGGTGATAGGTTCTTGGTTGGTTCGTTCCCAGAGCTCTTTGTTGCCTATTCTTTCTGGCCATCTGATCTTCAGTAGCGAGCCAGCGTAAGCAGTTGTTGATGAATGTCTGTAGTTTATTGGAAATCCCTTTCGTAACGCACCAAATCTCTGAACCATACAGAAGCACTGACTTCACGTTGGTGTTGAAAATCCGGATCTTGTTACACATGCTGATTGGAGCGCAGAAGATCTCCACACTGGTTTCAGGCTAATAAACGCCTGTCTTGCTTTTCCGATTCTGACTTTGACATCTTCGTCTGTGCCTGTGCCGCCTGTAGTTGAAACAGTGCTTCCTAGGTAGGTGAAGGAGGTTATTTTCTTTAAGTTTCTCCGTTGATGGAGACTGGAGTTTGTTGTTGTTGTTGGGGTTGTTGGTGCGGTGTCTTCATCACTTCTGTCTTCTCTATATTCACCGGAAGGCCCGTCTTCGCTGCTCTGCCTCACCTCTTCTGTCAACTTGTTAGTTTTCGCCTGTAGATCTTCAGGTTTATGTGACATCAGGCACAAGTCATCGGCGAAGTCCAGATCTTCTGGATTCTTTTCCGCAGTCCAGCCAGCCTGTCTCCCTCTTCTCGCTCCCCTCTGTTTGTCGCATGATCTAGTCGACCACAATCAGGAATATCACGGGGGATAGTAGGCAACCTTTTTTCACTCCTATCTTCACTTCAAAAACATCACTAAGCTTCCCACTGTGAATTACTTGGCTTGCATGTGGCGTCTTCATATAGCCAGCTGTTGAATGAGATTGATAAAGGGTTTGCGGTATTCCGTAGTATTGAAGCAGTTTTCAAATTACCTCTCGGTCGACGCTGTCAAAAGCCTTCTCAAAGTCGATAAAGTTGAGGTGGAGAGTTGACTGCCACTGCATAATCTGTTCTATGATGATGCGTAGTGCAGCGTTGCAATTTGATCGGCACATGATTTGTACTTGCTGGAGCCAGCCTGCCTGTTCCGGTAGTAGTTTTGAATCCAGTGCATCTTTAAGCCTCTCCAGGATGATGCGGCTTAATATTTTGCTTGCTCGGGGTGGGTGTGGACAGGAGAGTGATTCCGCGCCAGTTCTTGCAGACACTGAGGTCTCCTTCCTTCGGCAGTTTGACAAGGTAACCCTTCTTCCAATCACTAGCCAGATACCTTCTCTTCCTTCCACACCTTCTGCAATAGCGGCGTGAGCATGTCCGCTGTTGTCTCTGCATCTGTTCTCAGTGCTTCTGGTGGGATCCCATCTGGTCCTGCTGCTTTCCTACATTTCAGTAGCTTTATGGAGTTCACGACTTAGATTTTTGTTGGAGGATTTATGTTCACTCGTAGTTCAGTGGATGTAGGTGGTATTTCTGGACGAAGTGCAGGTGGTGGTGGTGGTCGATTCAAGAGCTTCTTGAAGTGGTCGGTCCATTGTTTCCTTTGTTTCTCTTCTTTTGTAGTTAAATTTCCGTCATCTTTTATTGGCTTCGTCTGAGTTGATCTCTTCCCAGATAGCAACCTGGTTATTTGATACAATGTCGTCAGGTCTCTCCTACCTGCAGCCTGTTCTGCTTCACTTGTCAGTGTTTCGTAGAAGTGTCTTTTGTCTTTCCATGCACTCTTCTTCACTTCTTTATCCGGTGCAGTGTTTTATACATTGTGCTCAGTTCCTCTTGTCGTTGAGCATCCTTGCACTGGTTTATCTTCTGCTTCACCATCCTCCTTTCCTCTATCAGCTTCCAGGTATCCGTCGAGATCCACTCCTTGCCTTCTTTCTTCTTCCTTCCTAATACGGCTGTGCAGGTTTCTTTCCACATAGCTTTCAAAGACTTCCAGTGCTCTTCCACACAGGTTTCTTCAGGGATGTTGCTCGATGTCTCCCATTTTGTCTTGATCGCTGACGTGAAGATGTCCTTTGCGGTTTCGTCTTTCAGTTTCCGAGTGTTGTACTTGAACTGCGGTCTATCACCAGCTTCGTTGAAGGCTTTCAACTTGATTTGGAAGGTTGCTTGCACTAGATAGTGAGTGGTGTGAACCTACATCTGCTCCTCTTCTTGACCTTGTGTCAAGTAGACTGCGTCTCCATTTTCTTGAGATTGAGATAAAGTCGATTTGATTTTTGGTGTGTCCTGGTGTCTGGTGAAATCCATGTTGCTTTGTGGATATCCTTGTGCTTGAACACACTGCCTCCAATCACCAAATCGTTGAATGCACAGAATTCTGCAAACAATTCTCCATTCTCGTTCGTCACCTCACCGAGCTCTTCTCGACCCATGGTTAGTTCTCTTCCTGTGTTGTCCCCTCCCAGTTTGGCATTCATGTCGTCCATTAGAATTTTGATATCGCCAACTGACGTCTTGTCCAGTGTTGATTGAAGCTGTCTGTAGAATTCCTCCTTTTTATCTTGCTTTGCATTATTTGTAGGTGCATAGCATTGTATGATTGTGACCTTCCTTCCTTTTGGGTTGAATCCTGCAGTCATGATCCAGCTGGAGGAGGAGATTGGTTCCCACTGCATGAGAGCCTTCGATGCTGTTGGGGACATCATGCTAGCCACTCCATAACTCAGTGTGCTCATGGTTGTCGTCTGGGTGAAAGGAGTAGATTATTGATTCTCCAGTTGACAGTTTGAAGACTCCACTCCCATTCCACCTGTTTTCGCGAATTCCAAGCACTTCGATGTGGTACCTGTTCATCTTGCTTGCAATGTGGGCTGCCTTGCTGGGTTCAAACATGGTGCGGATATTCCATGTCCCCACGTTTACTTTCGCTTTCATCGAGAGAAGACACATCGGCCAATTGGCTTCCCGAAGGCTTTCACCAACTGGCGTCATTTCGCCTCTCCGATTCCAGCGAGGAATAGTTTTGTTTCCATTTTTTATATTTCGTTTGTGCTGTGAAGTTTGTTTAGCAGTTAGATTTGTTTTAGGGAGTAGGGTTGCTAGCCCTATACCCAACCTTCCCTCTTTCCCCGGGCTTAGGACCGGCTAGTAACTAGTGAACTAGTTAACCAGGCGAGGTTGCAATCGAACCAACTTAGCGTGAATCTGCTTTTCTCCTGTAATGTTGTCGACGGCTGGAACTCCTTGCCTCAGAAATTAATGTCAGCACCTTCTATCAACGCTTTCAAGAAAAAACTAGATCTTCACAGAGATATCTTCCGCAAAGGTTGACACAAGCCATCTGGCCTGCGATCCTTATAACTGGAAACCAAGACCAAAAACCGAAACCGTCATGCGGGCTACGGTAGTAGCCACTATGCCGACTGAAGGTCTCGAGTGAAGAGTTGGTAGGAGGATTTTCTTCAAGTGTCTCTTAGATTGATTGGTCTCATTTGATGAACGGCCCGTTTTCTGAATAGAATATCTGTTCCCCACAGGCCACACAGTTGAGAAGATACTATACCCAACTCTGTGAATCGGTTACCGAAAATCATGGTTTCTATCCAACGCAATAAAAGACTTGATACAAGCCCTATACGCCCTACTAGTGAGACAGATACCTAACGGTAAAACCTCAGATTCACAGACTGTGGTCATGAGTTCTGGCAGCTGCATCTACCCGTGGGCCACGCACGGGCACCGCTTCGACATCTTCCATCAACGGGTTACAACTCGATAATGTGAGTATTCAGGGTACAATATGAGTTTTGCGACGACTTGTTCGACACTACTTCAAGTTGTTCTCAAATCTCGAGGACACTGGACTGTTCTATGAGTTCCAATTATATCTCGCTGGACCCGTAGAAAGCGTCACAGTATCACTGGGGTTGAAGTACACCTCACGACTTCTGCCAGAAACACCCTGACAACCCCTGTCTACTAGCTAT